CACGGCGGCCCCTGGCCGCGCGACCGCCCCCGGGCCGATCTGCGGCCTTCGGATGCCGCGGGGGGGCCGCGGGGAGACATTGAAGCGACGCGGGCGCGATGCCGCTTTAGCCCCGAGAACTTCGGTGCAACAGTGTTACCCAGGCCGCTGGATCTGCGAATCACTCGGCAGCGATATCAGAAGTCTCGCTCGAGCGCGCTCACGCCGCAATTCTGCCACCCCGCGAGCGAGCGGCTCCGAGGACGCGGCGGCAGTAATGCGATGCGAGCGGGGGGCGCGGGGGGGGCATCTACTTTTGCGCCCCCCACCCACCCCCTCCCTCTGCCTTGAAGACCTTGCGCGCAGCCTGGTCATCCGCCATGGCAATGCGCGCGGGCACCCGACCCGCGTGCCCCCCCCATGAGATGGACACCAATGAGAGCGTTGCGCAGGGCCAGATCAACCGCAACGGTCGCAGCCCTTCCATCAAGACTACCTTGAGAAACGTGAGCTCGCCTGCGAGAGGCCATGCTCTGACTGGCGCTGGCACGCGGGGCGCGCTGCGATGGGCCCGTAGGTCGCCGGCTAGGTCGGCGCCCGAGTTGCGTTGAAAACAAGCATCGGGCGCGCCACCCCTCACCCGAGACACCGAGTGATAGCTGCCAGAAGCGCCGCGCGATCGCGGGGGGTCGCCCTGACATGACATACAAATAAGCACGCATCGATCCATATCCTACTGCACTGCCCGCTCGGCGACGAAACTCGCAGGGCGAAAGACCGCCCGAAGGGAAACGCGGCAAACCGTGCGCGCCCCATGCGGGACCTTCACGAGAACCGGGGCAATGACGAGCTGAAACTTGCCCGGCGACGTCGGGGGCCCAAGGGCGCAGTCTGCCTGGGCCAGGGCCCTTGACCTCCTGATCTGGGGCTCCAGCAGCAGCATCCACGTAGAGAACGGCTGCGAGGGCCTCCTCAGTGGGAACATGTCCCCCTCGAGGACCCCCCTGCCCGCCCCCCATGTTGGCCGGCTCAGGCGAGGGCGCGCCGGAAACATAATCCGCCGCAAGGCCCGCGCCCGCTCGCGGCGCGCGCAGACGGAAGACTCTGCCGTGTCATATTCCAGGACGCGAACCCCTTTCCGCGGTCTTGGCTGGAAGGACTCACGCGGCCGAGCCGCCTGAAGCCCCCCCCGCGCCAGCGCCCGCGCCCCCCAGATCAGCGACGCGAGTATTTATCTGCTGCAGCGGAAGGAGAATAAGGTCAGTGGGCCACTCTGCTCGCCGATCGACCGCGCGGGCGCGCGCGCGGCGCTCGCGCCCGAGCCCCCCCCCCAAAAGTCAAGTCGGGCGCGCCCCCCTGCGGGGGGATTTTCGACGGTAGCAAACGTGCCCCAAAAAGGCCAAAGGATATCCAAACAATAATTTGGGGACTTGTTCTGCGCTATGTTCGCTGCATGTTGAGCGTAGGTATAAATATATCTATATAATCTCTTCAAAAATCACCGTGTAGGGGGGCGGGCCCGACTTAGCCCCATGGCGAGGCAATCTACCCCGATGCCCCCCGAGCGCCCCTCAAACGTCGCATGAATCAGCCGCCAGCCCTGCAACGTCGTCGGCCGGGCAAGAAAGTTCGCGGCCATCCACGTCGAGAGCCCTCTCTCCAAGATGGAATGACAACCCAGCAGAAAATCCAGCAGCCACAATCATCCTGGGAGCGGAGATGACCGTCGCAGCGCTGCCCCCTGTAATCACCCGAGCCAGGATGTTCATGGAGAGACGAGATCAGCGGACAAACGGGCCCCGCGAGCCCCGCCAAGCGTCGGGGGCGGGCCTCCGCGGGGGAGGAGGGCCCAGGCGGGCTTCGATTATGCGTTGGCCTGATTCGCACGGGCTGCCTGCGTAATATATATATATATATATATGTATGCTTGTGCATGCGCATGCGCATGCGCATGTGCATGTGTATGTGTATGTGTATGTGTATGTGTATGTGTATGTGTATGTCTCTCTGTGTGTGTGTCTGTCTGTCTGTCTGTCTGTCTGTCTGTCTGTGTCTGTCTGCGTGGGCTTTCTCTCCGCATAAGCCGCGCGCATCGGTTGCTTTGCCCGCCCGCATTGCGGCGGGGCTGCCGGGCGGCCCGCGGAAGACAGCGACGCGTTAGTTCTGGTCTCTGACGCCGGGGGCGTCGCAGGCCACTCGCCCGCGATGCTTGCGACGTGCGCGCCCGTAGGGAAATTCTGAGTTCATCTCGGATAAGATGGCGAAGAAGCGCCCGAAGTGCGCCGTCTTTCCATTAAGTCCGGGCACAACGCCATCGCGCTCTTAGGCGCCCTGCTCACCCCGCGCGCCGATCGACCGAAGGCGATCCCATTTGGCGCGCAGAGCCGCCTGATCGCCCTCGTCGGCCATGGCCATGGCCTCGGCCATCGGAATAGAACGCGCCACGGGGGCGTTGATTCGAAACTGGCGAAAACCTCAGAGATCTCAATGCGTTCGCCCACAACGCAAGCGCAATCCCTGAATGGGCTGCATCGGCGTGGTCAGTCCAATCTTTCTTGTTCACGATGAGGAGAAATAGATGCCGACACGGAGAGGGCGGGCGCCCGAGGCACGCTGCGCTGCGCCGGCCCCCGGCGGCGGACTGACCCGAAGCCCCACTTGCCTCTCCTCTCTGGGCCGAGCCCGGAGGCGGAAGGGGCACCGCCGGTCGAGACCGCGGCGTCTCCGCCACTCAAGGTTGCCCCACAGCGCCAAATTTGATGTCGCAAGGCAATCAATCCATTATCCGCGGTGCTGTCTGGGTCGAGATCGGAAGCCCGACGGGCGCACCTGCGCCCGAACAGTGCGGTCCCGGGTCCACATTTCCGAAGAAGCCTTCCTTGTCTGCCTGGTACTGCTCGACGGCCCATCGTCTGTCAGGCTTGCACATGCTCGACCATCGACTCAGATGAAAGCCAAGACTGGTCGGGCCTGGCACTTTCCTCTGATGCGGAGCTGCGCGCTTGAGCTGGTGACACAAACGCTGTCAGGAGGCGTGGAACAAGGATCATGGTACAACACGATGCGATTGCTGAACGTTTTGCTCTTGTCCGTCTGGGGCAACTTCTCAGCCAACTCCTGCTTGGCGAAGCCAGCCACGATACGACGATCCTCAAGGTACTCCATAGCGTCACTGTTCTGCGTCGCGCGTCCAAGAACCTGGCTCAACGTGGGAAATATCTCCCATGGCTTATCCATGGAGAAGCGGTACGGATGATCCATACGGCATTAAAACATTGGAGATCTAGCTTTCCTTCGTCATCGGGGCCTCTGTCCCCTTTAATGCCCCGACCATCCGCCCCCGTGATCCGGCCCTTCAGCCATCTCGGGGCGCCCCGCGAACCCTCATCGTCAGATTCGGCATGGGGGTCAACATCAGCCGCGGCCTCGTGGACATCACTCCAGGGCGGATCTTTGGACGCTCGAGCGGCCGGGCCGCCCGAGGTCCCCCGCGGTGGCAGAATAACTGAAGCCGGCTCAGCCAAAACCTTCTTGCCCGTAGCTCGCATGCGAAACTTGGGTGCCTGAAACTCCGCGGCGCCGTCAAGTGTGCGACTGTGCATGTGGCCAGAGTTCTCAATGATGGGCCTCCTGCCGCCAAGACATCTGCCAGTGGCCATGCTGAGGCTATCGAATAATCTCGAAGGCACCGCGTAGCTCTCGAGCCAACCAAGACCCGCACTGTCTGGACACGTCCGAAAGAAATCTCAGGGCCCACCGTTGCACCAGTCTTTGAAAATCGATAGTGCGAATGCAGGGGAAACGTATAACATGAGGGGGAAACGAAAGGCAAGAGAAAAGCGTCGAAGTGTTTGCCGAAACGTGTTTTCCAATTCGGCTTGCCCTCTGCATTCTGTTGTGCGTTGTTACCAAAACGACAATACCTAACAGCATATGACCAAACCGCCGACGGGAGCATGGCGGCCAGGAGGGGCGCATGGGCCCCCATCTGCACCGCCCCGTTGGAGAACTGGGCGACAGCCATGAGTTTCTTGTTTCCTGGGATGGTATCAACATGTGCTGTTTTGGTATCTCCGCAGGCGAAAGCTAGCAATGTTGGCACCAGCGCTGCCATAATACGTCACCTGTTCTTCAGGGGCACGAAGACTGAACAGGAAGCTACAAACACGAACCGCTGATTTTTCGTGGGCCCCCTGGGCATCGAGGAGTTTCGAACACGGGTCGCATGAAGTCGCACACGCAGTCTCACAATGGAGTCCTTGCAGTAGTTTTTCGGCCGCACCCCAATGAAGCGGGACGGAGACTGCGGCCTGTTTGAAACGCTCGCCGCACGTCACCCCAACGCCCGCATACTTTGGGTCTTGAAGCGGCTCGTCGACGTCGAATAAGTAGATGCCGCCTAAGCATTCGGCGTCGGCCTTACTTGGAGCGGTGGTTACAGAGGTAGTTTCAAAACACCCACAATCCATGTCGTAGGGTAAAACACCCGAATCTCCTGGCCACGAGCAACTGGCATCATTTGCAACACGCACCCCCGGCACGACCAGTGTGGTCATCACTTGTGCCGCGATTCCAAAATCTGGTGATGTTTCCAAATGAGATCGCGAGCAAGTCGAGGCGAATCGTAGAAATAGGTGAAGACATCCCCAGAGCCTGAATTGTACGGTGTCGCGTCGGCACGACTCTATTAAGCTTGGGGGCGCGAGGTGTCACAGGTGACGGCCTCCCGTGCCCTTTCGAAGAGTCACCACCCAGAATACCCGGCACGGTGTAGAGGAAGAAAAAACTGAAGAAGAAATTCACTTTCGGGGGTCCTCGCGAATTTCTTGGATCAGCGCTGGACCCCCCTGACGCGCGGAGCACGCCAGGGGCGGCGCCGGAGGCGCTTTCAGGTGAGTCACAGCGCCGTCCCAAGAGATCCGCGCGGAGATCCAACAACATATTTTGACTATGCAATTGTTTCTTATTCGACGGGCGGTGGGACTTGCCGCAGGCAACTGGGCATTTGCAAGGGCGTGCGCCTTCACCGCCACAGAGTACAACTCCTGCGCCCTCTTCTCCGCGATCCGCATGCGGCTGGCCTGCTGCTTGGAGTCGCTCTGGAGCTTGACTCTCCACTGCAGGTCCGCGCTGCCCCCGCGGGGGGGCAGTACCGAGGGCTGGTGTCGTGTCGATCTCGGCGGTGGTTTCTGACACCGCGGGTATCGTTCCACCCTGACCGATCGGCCGTTTCTGAAACGTCATATCGTTTAACATCGACCGATCCTGGGCCACTGGCGGCGCTCCACGCTGAACGCTGGCGGCACACGACGCAAACCTACCGTACGGGAGCGACCGCACAGCCAAGGCAAGCCACTTGGGGAACTTTCCCCCTCACCCACCCCACATCCATGCCTCCACACATTCCCCTGCGCCCTGCCACCTGCCAAACCTGAGCGGGATCGAGCCGTGAATTCGGACCGGATCGCGCCGGAATCGGACTGTTTGGGATTGCGTATCGGACTCGACCGCTCGAATTCCCGCGCCCGGCAACAAGGCCATGTACACGATTTTGCCTCCAGGCTGATTCCTGCAGGAAGCGCTCGCTCATCCAGATTTCTCTACGCAATGTTGACCTGGAAAGTTTCGTTGTGATCTGACAGAGGGTATCCGCCGATCTGGCGTGTAAGTTTCAAAGAGCCTAGGCTACAGCCTACAGCCTGAGTTTCAGCTCTGCTGGGGGGCGGGGCTGGGAGGGGGAAGGGCGGGGAGAGGGGGCCTGCGCTCAGCTTTCTGGGCGGGGCAGGGACACGTAAACATCTGCCAGGAAACATGCACTTCTGAAGGATTTGGGCGCTTTCTTCTTTTCAGCCTTCCGACGGCTCCAAAGGCCACCAAGATGGCCCCAGAAGCCTCCAAGATTCCCCCCATGACGGTGCAAGAGGTTCCTAAGGCCCAAAGGAGTGCCAAAATGACCCCGTAGGCACCCAAGACAGCCAAGATAGCCTCCACGACAGCCCTGAAGCGCCCCCAGAGTGCTCCCAAATGGCACAGCGAGGCGCCCAAGACGGCTTCTGGCGGCGTGGGCCAGCAGGAACGCCCTAAGACAGCCAAAAAGGCTTCCAAGAAGCCCCCAATAGACTCAAATGCCCCCTCAAAAGGCCTCCTACGACGGCCCCAAGAGGGCCCCAAGACGGGCTCATAGGCCTCCAAGCGAACCCGAGAACCATCGGGAGCGCCCCGGATCGGCGGCACTGGCCAGAGGCCATCATAATATTAACCAAGCGTGGCCGCGAGGGTTTCTGAGATTGTGTCTGATCGTTTGGAGACCCCTGCAGGCTGGAGGGGTAATCAATTCGTATCGGATCGGATCGGGTCGACATCGAAATCGTAATCTGGGGAACATATCAGATCGTATCGGACCGTGAGCAGCCCTGTTTCCCCGTCCCCGCTCCAATCTCCCCCTCCCCCCCGCCTCATTATTTCTACTCTCTCTTTCTCTCTCTCTCTCTCTCTATCTGTCTATCTCTCTCTCTGTCCCTGCCCCCATGTTCCCACTCCTCTCCTCCTCCTCCTCCTCCTCCTCCTCCTCCTCCTCCTCCTCCTCCTCCTCCTCCTACTCATCATCATCATCATCATCATCATCATCATCATCATCATCATCATCATCATCATCATCATCATCATCAACAGCAGCAGCAGCAGCATCATCATGATCTTTCTCGTCCTCCTCCCCGTCGAGGGCTGCCCCCTCCACATGCCAATCCAGATCCTCTCCTCTGCTTCCTCTCTCTCTCTATCTCTGTCCCTGCACCCCCTCCTCCCCCTCACTCTTACTACCCCCTCCCTCTCCGCCTTCCTTCTCCCCCTCCCCTCCTCTGAGCCGCACGGGTGGGCATGATCTGAACATTGCGTTGCATGTTGTCCCGCTGCGTATGAAATACTGGCAACGTCATTTTGGCCACACGTCGACCAAGCGAAGCTTCGAGTTCGTGTTGGAATTTCGGAGTGTACACTGTCCTTTCGCGATGGCTGTAATCCATGGAGTCCCTTCCTGTCCACTTTCTTCTCCACGCCCCCTCCTCTGCCGCATCCCCTTGCCACCATTCCCTCTCTTCATCCCCGCCCCTCCTCCTCCTCCTCTTCCTCCTCCTTCTCTTTCTCCTTCTCCTTCTCCTTTTCCTTCTCCTACTCCCACTCCTACTACTACTACTACTACTACTACTACTACTACTCCTACTCCTATTCCTACTCCTATTCCTACTCCTACTCCTCCCTCCCTCCTCGTCCTACTCCTCCCCCCCCTTTTCCCCCGTCTCCACCTGCTCCGCCTCCTCCAGCTCCCTTCCCATCCCCGAACTCGTCGCCGCTCCTCCCTCCGTCTCCTCCTCATCCCCTTCCCTCCCCCTCCTTCCCCGTCGGTTTTCGCCAATCCCTTCCTCCACAAGACCCCTCTCGCTTTCTAGCCCCTCTCCTGCGCCCTCCTCCCCCCCCCTGGGGCCATGAGGGGGCACAGGAGGCGAAGGACGGTTTGGACTTGACGACTGAGGGAAGGGCTAAAGGATGTGCAGGAGGAGGAGAAGGTGGAAGGATCGAGAGGGGAGGATTGATAATAGGGCAGGTAGGGATATGATGATGAGGGTGCAGGTGAAGATGCGGATGCCGATGATGATGATGGTGGTGGTGGTGAGGATGCTGATGATGGTTGTGGTCATGATGATGTTGGTGAGTGTCGTGATGATGTTGCTGCTGCTGCTGTTGATGATGATGATGGTGATGACTGATGTTGTTGGTGGCGATGAGTATGATCAGGAGTATGGTGGTAAGGTAGATGGATCAAATGAAGATGTTGATGACGATGATGATGATGACGGTGATGGTGAGGACGACGATGCATGCGTATACATAGGAGGCTGATGGTGATGGTGGCGATGCTGACGATGGTGCTGGTGACGATGGTGAAAGTGGTGATCAGGAGCATGGGGTAAATGATGATAATGATGATGATGATGGGGATGGTGATGAATTTGTGGTGGTGGTGATGATGATGATGGTGATGATGATGCTGGTGATGGCACTGATGATGATGATGATGATGATAATGTAGGCCGCTAGCGGAGCCCTGCAACTCTAGGCTTGCACTCGACAAAAACGAGACGTGGCGTAGAACTCGAATGGCTGGAGGACTGCGTGTGGGCGCTGACTGTGCTACTCTGAAAACCGCTGCCGCCGACGCTGGCGGGGACGTCGAATTGCCCCCTGCAGGGCGGGCCTCTGCCGGAAAAGCTGGCTGCCCTGCCAGGGACCTCTCGAATTTCAGGTACAAACGATCTCTGGGAAACGAACGCGAGGATGAGGGGAGCGACGAGACGACAGCACCCCAAGACCAGAGACAGGGAAATTCACTACAAAACAACAGTTTTGTGCACAATGTCCCCCTCCCTGCTTCTGGGCGGGGGAAGCAGGAAAAAGTGCGCTGCGCAAGTGCTCCTGGAAACTATGACGTACACGGTCGCCAAAATCTGACCGAAGGCCTACTCGGGCACGCTGTCTTCACGTTGTTCACGCATCGCGGGGCCTCACGAGAAGGAATAGGGAGAACGGCTGTGCTCACCAAAAACGATTTCCTGACAGTAATCTCGGGCCTCCTCCGCCGCCAGCAACCGTCGGTAAGGTGCGAAAACAGCTGGATATCCTCGTCCAGGAGCGCCTGGGCGGAAACTATCCTCTTCAGCTCGGCGATGCGGCAGTTCCTGTCCTGCACCAGCGCCGGCGCGTCCAAAACGCCCGCGGTCGTCAGGAAATGATGATTCCACGCTTCAGCCTGTAACATTGCCTGCAACATTGCAACATGCTGGCTGCACGCTTCAGCCTGCGCAGGGGGCATCCTCCAGCAACTGCTTGGAAGCGGCGAGCTCGGCCGTGACGTCGATCATGGTCTCAACGCAAGAGCGCCGAGGTGCAGCAGCGCGCTCCGGTTGGCCATCTCCGGAAAACCCGGGCGCCTCCACAATGAATTCCGTGGCGTCGTAATACGCCGTTTGGTCCGCCTCCCCCTCCACAAGCATCTCGCGCTCGCAGTCGGGCTCCGTGGTGTTTTGCGCCTTCAACTCCATGACTCCAGGACGGCTCGGCTGCTCGCGCGGATACGCGATGTCCCCCGATATTGTCACGCACGCCCCTTTCCGAGGTGTCGCCATCGCTGAAGCCGTCTCTAGCGCGCTCTGTGAGATGCAATGCCCCTCACTGGCCCGGGCCGGGGCGGCATCTCTGCAAGAGCCATCGCGCGCGCTGGGCGATGGCTGAACTAATTGCGGCAAAAACTGCTGGCTGCACGGGTCGCCACTGGACGTCGCCGGCGGCAGCGCGGATTGTATTGGTGGATGGAACGAGACTGAACACTGTGCACCCGAGCGGACGGTAACCCCGAAGAACGTTCGCTCGTACCGAATGGCGCCTTGACGACGGTAACGGCGAAGAGGATGCCGATGATAAAGGTTATGATGCTGACGGTGATGATGATGGCGATGAGGATGAGTATTAAGATTGGGAGGCATATGCATATGATGATGATGAGGATGCCGATGCTGATGATGATGGCGAAGGAGAAAATTATGGTAGCGAGGATGATGATGATGATAATAACGATGTTATTTTTGCCCCGTCGATTCACGATCCATCCTGGGTGGGGCCCAGGGCATCTCCCCTGCGCTCGGTCACGTTGACGGTGAAGACGACCCAGGCCGAGGACGACGAGGAGGGAGAGGCAGGCGAACAGGAAGCCCTTGGTGCGACGACGAAGGCATTGGCACCTAGGAAGTACAGGAGGCGCATGATGTCCAAGGACCCGCAGCCGAAAATGACGACGCAGAAGAACACCACGAGGAGGCCCTTGGTGCGACGAAAGCATTGGCACCTAGGGAGTACAGGAGGCACATGATGTCCAGGGGCGCGGAGCCGAAAAAAACGACGCAGCAGAACACCACGATGAGGCCCTTGGTGCGGCGGAGGCATTGGCACCTAGGAAGTACAAGAGGCGCACGGTATCCAGGGCCCCGCAGCCGAAAGAGACGACGCGGAAGAGCACCACGAGGAGGCCCTTGGTGCGACGACGGCATTGACACTTAGGAAGTACAAGGAGTACTTGGCGTCCATGGCCCTGCAGCCGAAGACGAGGACAACCAGCGCAATGAAGGACTGGACGAGTGCCGTCGAAAAAGATCTAATAGACTACTATCGAGCTGAACCATCGGCCAGGGGTGGCAGTGCAAAACCTCTTCGTCTAAAACACACCCTGTCAGCAACGCGGCTGACTCCTCGATCGACAGCCCAGCACACAACCAGCACGAGGCGATATAGGCAGACTCCGAATCGTATGGGTCACATTGCTAGCAACGACTTCGTTGGACACTTATTCCCGTGACCGCGTATCTTCAACGGCTTGCAAGCAAATTGAAACAATAGGTCGGGTATAAGAGCGCACATGCCGCGACTCAGCAGCGACAGCGCATCTCGAAGACAACTGCGATATATACCTGTGCGCTCCAAAGTTGAAGGTGAGATCCTCGACCACCCTGGCGCCTGCGGACACGCCGTCGAACGATGGGAAGGCAGGGACTGTGGGCAAGGGCGTCCACTCTCCGCGAAGAACGTGTTTGTCAACATCGGCACGACGGACAAGACGTGCCGCGGGGGCACCACGCTGTTCACCGTGTCGCCGAGGACGTTTGGAGTGAGGGCCAGCAGGAGGACGTCAACACCCACCAGAGGAGCCGCCTCCGCGCTGCCAAGGATCACCGCCATCAACCCACGGATCAGCACCGCGCGAGATGCCACGAAAAGGGGCCGCCGCCAGGGGGACCAGCACCATCTCCACCATCGGCGGGTCCATGATCACTCCCAGAGTCATGAGGGCCATCACCAACACCATGGGGAGCTGCAATCTCGCTAAGCCAGAAATGGATCTCACTGACCCCGTCGTGGTGCTTATGTCCTGCCCATGACTGAAGACAAAGCAACGCGCCTCTCGAGCGCCGTCAGCGCATCCAAGATCAACGCTCGGGCCATGACTGAAGTAGCCGACTCCCCATGCACGACCGCCACCTTGCATTTGCCACGGCTGCTGGCAGCGGCTGCGCCGAAGGAGATGTAAGCAGGGGAGCCTAGCTCCACCATGTCCCGGATCCAGCGCAAGCGAGCCACCACCACCATGCTCGCAGACCGTGGCCGGGAGGCGCGCCGCGCGCGGGGCGCAAGTGCGCCCAGGAAGCCCCGCGCCGAGCAGGTGCTCGGGCCAAAGGGGCTATGATGATAATAACGATGATGATGAAGATGATCATGAAGATGACGACGACTATGGTGATGATGCTGATGATGGTAGTGGTGATGAAATAATGATGATGCTGATGCTCATGCCGAGAATGCTGATGATACTGATGATGCTGATGCTGATGCTGATGAGGATGAGAATGATGAGGGTGACAATGATGATAATGATGCTGATGATAATGATGTTGATGATGCTGGTGATGGTGATGCTGATGATGGTGGTGGTGATGATGATGATGATGATGATGATGATGATGATGATGATGATGATGATGATGAGTATTACGATGCATAATAATAATATTGTGTTGATGTGGAAGAGGAGGAGGCGGAGGCGGAGGCGGAGGAGGAGCCGCTCGACTCAACTCTTCGGGGGGGATGGCCCCATTGTCATGCAGTCGGGAGGGTTGAAAAGGAGGGACAATGCCCCTTGAACTAGCCAAGGTTCGTCGTCTTCCTCAGAGGCCGGTTCCGCCGAAGCGCTCCTGCATTCGCGGGCCCTCTCCCCGCGCGCTCAGGTCTCCACCCACGTGAGACCATACATCGTACCCACCCCCCTCGACGTGTCAGGAGGAACAGGAGATAGGAGGTGAGAGGCCATGGTGGTTGGATTTGGTGGACGCGGAGGAAGGAGAGGAAGATACTCTTCCAACTCCCGCACGCAGCAGTCGCTCGATCCGCGTGTGGGGCGATCGCAGAAACTCCCCTGCGGCCCGCCCGAGGGGGCCCAATCGGACTGGCGGCGTGGAGCCCGCCAAATCCGCCTCCTCCCGGACGAAGATGTCGAGCCTTGCCTGCGCCTCAAGGCGCCTCGCGTGCGCCCTCCCGACGAAGTCCTGGCGGAAGACATCGAATCGAAGAACAAGAAACATTAGAATAATAATAATAATAATAGTAATCAGAATGAGAAGAAAAGGCACGTAATTGTGCTTCGAACGATCCCCGCCCGAGAACGCGAGACGGGACACCCAGGCAGGAATCACCAGCACACCCTTGATCTTGGCCGCCGCGGCATGCATCTGTCACTCGTCGAAGGCACGAGGCGGGATCCCCAGGAAGCACCAGCACCCGTAAGGCCTGGCGGCGGTGGTAATGCAAGATAGCGACGCGGAGAACAACGAGGGGGAAACGATGTAAGAAATTGTACCCAACCTCGTTGTCAAATTTCGGGGAACGTTTAAAATCCGATTGTATTCGGATTCAAATTCGCTTGGAACCACACTTGAATCCTAGTGGACTTACCTTGAAACCTTTGGAGTCCCGAAACGGTGCGGTGACAGACCGCGCGGCGACCTTGGAACCCCAAGAGACCTCACCGCACGGTCCGTCACAGCACAGTTTTGGGACCCTGGAGGCCCCTGTCGCCCGAGACGTCCTCGGAGAACGACCCGAGTCCCAAAACCGTGCGGTGACCCCGAATCCCCACCGACTCACCGCACGGTGTGGTCACCACCCCGTTTGGGGCCCCCCGAAAATCATGGAATCCGAGTGAAGCCCCGGAATCCGATTGAATTCCGAGTCGAATCCTACTGGAATCCTACGGATGCATCCATTCGTAGAGCTCCTTATATTACATCTCCCAGCCGACTCCATATGTATTTCTTATTGCAACATGTCCTATCACAGCTTCTATTGCAAGTCCCAACACGCTCCAAATAAAGCCCACACAACACCTCCCGCGTAGCTCCTGTCACTACAGCACCCGCAACAGCATACTCTGGACTGTAAAACTCCGACTGCATGTTCTACGACAACACCTTTGGCGGCGCGCACAAGGGGGTGGAGGGAGGGGGGAGGGCATCTTAGAAGGAGGTTGCTTCTTAGAAGGCGCCATTCTTACATCTGTAGGTAAGGCCCGCGCCTTCTAAGAAGCAGGGGTACTTCTAAGAAGCCCTCCCCCCTCCCCCCACCCCCCTCTGCGCGTTGCTGACACCTGGCACAACCACAACCACAATTCGCAATGTCAAAACTACCCATCAGATCCGGAGCCCAATCTCTACAACACCTGTGATATCTTCAACTGCACCTCCGTGCCGCCATTCTCATATTACGGCTCATGATATCTACAAATCCTGTCCGTTCGTCACTGTACTTGCATCCGGCTGCCGGTGGCTCCCCTCCTTTCTCCTTTACCCCCCTCCTCCGCACCCTCCGCTTCGGATCCGTCTGGCCCGTCGGCAGTCTGGACGCGCGCCCGAGGAGAGCAGGGGGGGGGACGATTGAAACAAATGTCCCAGCCTGGGGCCAATGTTTCTGATCATCATCCCGGGCGCCGCCGCGTGAACACGACCCCGGGAAAGTTCTTTCTGAATCATCATCCTGCATTACGCAACATGTGTGAGGCGGGCCGGGAACTTGTTGAATCTCACAACCCCATCCTGTCGGGTGGGACATCGACACTGACATCAACTGTCGGAGGTCCACCCGGATTTCGTGGGTCGGCTGGACCCCCCTCCCTGACTGGCGCGCAAGTTGCAGAGCGCGCCAGGGAGCCCAGAAATTTGCGCGGACCTCCGAACGCTGATGTTGAGTAGATTTCCTCTTTTTAGATGCTGGCTCTGAATAGACTGGCCAGAGACTCTGAGGGGCGCACGGCAACTTCGCGGCGTGATGACATTGGCGTTGGTTTCTGAATCCGCGTGAATCGTTCAAATTGGAACGATCGCGGCTTTCCAATAGCGCAGATCGTTTGGTATGCGCCGGCTCCAAGCCACTGGCAACGTTCCGTCTTGAAGATCCGCGCTGGGGTCGTCGCTGCGTCGACACGACAGGCGTCTACCGTGACCGTGACCGACAAAGCGATGCGGTCACTCTCAGTCTTAAGGTGCATTGCTTCCTGGGGGAGCACTCCCTCGATCAGCACGCAAATGCCTGGAAAGGGAGGATACTGAGGAAGAGCGCAGAGAAACTGATTGTCATGACTCGAGATCGGCCGTTTCTGGTCCATTGGCGGCGTTCCCCCTTGATAGCCCGCGGCGGGACACCGCCGCGTCGACGCGGCGGCGAACGTGGAAGACGCATCCCGGTGTCGTCGTCTTGCGTGGATCACCGTCGTCGTCGTCGTCGTCGTCGTCGTCTCCGTCGTGTCCTCGTCGTCTCCGTCTCCGTTGTCCCTCGTCGTCTTCGTCGTTCCCCGTCTCCTTGAGCGCGCGAGCCAAAGCGACATTGAGCAACGTCGTAGTTGAGTCGTGGCGAAGCCCCTCCCTACCCTCCCCGCCGGGGGGGGGGGGGGGTCGCCACCCAGATACGCATCCTCCCCGGGGGGTCCCGGAGCTCAGAAAAGCTTCAAGACGAGCCAAGAGCGACAGAAGACACCCCCAAAAGGGTACAAGAGGGCCTCGACTCGACGAACGATGGCCCCAAGACGCCCAAGACGGCCCGAAGACGGCCCAAGAGGCCCTCAAGACGCTCCAAGAGAGCCCCAAGAGCACACCCAAGAGGGCCCCAGGCGCCAAAATCGTCAATTTTACATCGGTTTTTGAATGATTTTGGCCTTCTCGCCTTTTCGGCTTTCCGACACTCCAAGACGGCCCAAGAGGCCCCCAAGAGGCCCCCAAGAGCGCCCCAAGAGGCCTACAAGAGGGCCCCAAGACGGCCCAAGAAGGCCCCAGGACAGCCTAAGAGGCGCCCAAGACGGCCCAATAGGGCCCCAAGACGGGCCCAAGAAACGGCCAAGAGGGGGACGAGGAACCGAGAATTCGAGACTTCCGCCCTAAGAGGCCCCCGGGAAGCCCCAAGAGGCCCCCAAAAGGCCCCAAGAGGCCCCCGAGCGGCGCCAAGACGCCCCCAAGATGCGCCGAAGACGGCCTCCGGAAGCCCCAAGAGGCCCAAAAGAGGCCCCAAGAGGCCCCACAACGGCCCCCAAGAGGCTTCAAGTTGCCTTCCAGACGCCCCCGAGAGGTCAACCACGAGATCCCAACCAACATCCATAAGGCCTCCTCCTCCTCCCCCTTCACCCTTCCTCCTCCTACTCCCTTCCGCCTCCTCCTCCTCCTCCTCCTGCCCCCCCCCCTCGTGTTGTCTTTCGTCATCTTCAGGGTCGGCGGCAACGGCCGTAAGGCCTTCGCAATCACAGAGCGCGCGTTATGTGGCTGGGTGGGTGGGTGGGTTCTTTGGCACATAGCATAACACAGCCGCGCCCGGCCGTCGAACGGCTGTCACCACACATGCTGATGCAACAGCGTATGCGCGCACCATATCGCCTGTGTACACCACACTGCATGGATGCATGGCAGTGGTCAAATAAGCCACAGCGCCCGCCATGCCATGCAACACGTCATGCCACAAAGCCCTTACACACCATAGACGCGTCCACAACAGCACGTTCCACGTGCACCGCAGCGCCTGTCTAAAACGCGATGCGCGTGCACACCACAGCAATCGCGCGCACCGCGGCGACTTACGCCTGCGTGCACCACGTTGTATATGTACGCCACAAAGCCCGCGTACACCTCGACGGCCCCAGCGGGCCCTAAACACCAAAACTCATGGGGTGGAGGGCGGGGCGCGAACATATCACGTTGAATCTGTAAATTCTTTGGATTACTGTGTTTGGGGGCCAGGGGTACGGCTCCCGCGCTGCTGGCCGCGCTGCTGGCTCCACCGCCTCCTCTTCATATTCCTCCTGCTCTGCTTCTTCTTCCCCCCCTCGTCCTTGTACTCGTCGTGGTTGTCGTCGTCGCCGTTTTCCTCCTCGTACTTTTTGTCGTGAGCGCCGCCCCACGACGCCCTGGGAAGTCTTCGGAGGCCCTGGCCGGCCCTCGGCGGCGGAGGTGGAGTCGCAGGTGGCCGCTGTGTTTGACTGACTCCCTTCGCGGTCCATGATCCCTCTGGCTGACGAGCCCCATGGCGCGTGCTGCAACATAGCGGGTCGGACGAAGCCCAGCTACGCGACCACTAACCTGATGTTCCAACGGTTCTCATAAGCCGATGAAGCAAAGGAGACAGATCAAAGCAAGGCCACCGTTACGTACCGGCGCCTGCCCTGGCAACCGTGGGGAGGAGGGGGTAGAAGAGGAGGAAAAGGAAGAGGAATCTCTCCAACAAAGTGTGGCTGTAAATTGGACCGAAAGAGCAACCTACGCTCATCGCTAAGTTTTGCGAGAACGAAAAGGAAAGGAGGAGGACGCAAGGACTCTTGAAGGCCTTCCGCTGGATACGCATGCGGGGGACCAGCGTGCCCAGCCGCGCGGGGTACGAGGACCGACCGCTGGAAAGACATGCTGCCACATGTGTGTGCGTGTGTGTGTGTGCGTGTGCGCAGATCCCCCTGAACCTATCAAATTAAACATGTTAATTGTTTGCGTTGTTGTTCCTGGCCCTTGGCACGGTCGCCCCGCTGCTCGCGTGCATAACACTCTCTGTGTATACAACAATGTTGGACACCACAACGCCTGTGTGCACCACAGTTGCGGCCGCAACTGGCACGCGCGCGCTATGCACATCAAGCCGCCTGTGGTTCCTCAATGCGGGGTGCGCCGCCGCGCCTGCGTAGGCCCTATGACGGTCTGCGCGCGCCGCGCGCCTCTACATACCGCAGGCGCATGGTTGCGCCAACTACAAACGCGCGGTCCGCGCCCTACGAACAGCATACCTATGCGCTGCACAGCAGGCGCTGCCGTAACGTGGGTGGGTGCGGCGGCGGGCGTTATGAGATCGACTGGGTTGGTGGGTGGGTTGGAAGCCACATAACGCATGCTATACGGCAGACCAAACACACTCCAGCTCTATGCCGGTGTTTATTCCTCGATCGACGTCCTCAACATCCTCCTCCTGGTCCTCCGTCCCCTCCTCCTCACCGTTCCTGGAGCCGCTGGAACACGCCGAGGGCGTCCTCGGCCACCTCGAGCGCGAGCTCGGAGTCCCCCTTCGTGAGATGGAGGTTGCCTCCGGTGCGGGGTGTTTTGCGGGGGGGCGCAGGTATCAGCCCGCACCAATCGTGAAACTGGATCGGATCGGAGCTTGCATCGAAGTGGGTCAGATGGAGGCAGAGGGGAGCTAGTAGAGGAAGTGGGAATCAGCTCATGTAGCGGATATTGCCAGCGCCTCCCAGCGCCGGAGGCGCCAATGTTTCGAGGAATGCGCCCAGCGGCGGGGTCGAAACCAGCTGCATGCAACAGATTTCGTGCCCCCCCCCCTTTCCCTGTTCTCCCTTTTTCTCGGACCCGATCGGATCGGGCGGCATCGCCATGGAATAAAAGTCGGATTGGGTTGGCCGCGCCAGGATGCCCAACGGCGACATGCAGGTATCGGGCCGCATCGGGTCTTCGGAATGTCGAGATCAGCGTGAAGGGAACGGGTCCTGAGGGCAAAACGGGTCCTGGACCCCAAGGGCCTTCTCCGAGGACCACCTCTTCATTCTGGATCGTTCTTGACGCTCCCAGGGCCCGAGGAGGGCCCTGGAAAGACAACAACAGCGAAACACCTCCAGGAAACGTTTCCCTCTGGACATGCTGGCGGCGCGCTCAGGGGGTAGAGGGAAGGGGGAAGGCGTCTCAGAAGAAGCCCGCTTAGAAAGGAGAAGGCCTCTTAGAAGGCGCCGGCCCTAAATCTATAGACAAGGATCGTGCCTTTTGAGAAGCAGGGGGATGCTTCTAAGAAACTGTCCCCCTCTCGTTACCCCCATCTGCGGGTGGCCGACCGTTTCCCTCAGGACATGCTTCATGGCAGAAATCGACATCGAATCGGATTGGGCCGGCCAGAACCGATATCGAACTGGATCGAAGGTGGCTCTGGGGGAGGGCAGGTCCCTCGCACCCGGGGCGCCCCTTCCATGCCCAAGCGTCCCTGCTCCTCCTCCTCCTCCTGGTCTCTGCTCACTTCCGCTTCCCCCTTCCACACCTCCCTCCTCCTCATGGCCTCCTCCTCCTCTTCCTCATCGTCATCGTCATCGTCATCGTCATCGTCATCGTCATCGTGATCGTGATCGTGATCGTGATCGTCATCGTCATCGTCATCGTCATCGTCATCGTCATCGTCATCGTCATCATCATCATCATCATCATCATCATCATCATCATCATCATCATCATCATCATCATCATCATCATCATCATCATCATCATCATCATCATTATCATCATCCTTCTCTTCCTCAATTCATCGTCCTCCCCCTCTCCTTCACCCGCCTCATCATACTGACCCCCCTCCTCCTCCTCCTCCTCCTCCTCCTCCTCCTCTTCCTGGCCTCTGCCGCCTCCTCCTCCTCCTCCTCCTCATCCTCTGGTCACTGCTCTTCCCTCGACTCTCACGCCTCCCGGCCTTGGCAACGCAGAGGTTGCGGACCTATCGCAACCTCAATCCCCTCATCTTTCGCATCTTCCTGCTTCTCGCTCTCCCCTCCTCTTTCCGTTCTCGGCTCCTCCAACGGTAGCCCCGACGGAACCACCGCAAACCGCAGTGCCTTCACGAGCGCTCCGGGCCGAAAATCTCCACTAACCCGAATCCTCCCAGCAAATGTCCCGCCTCTCGGCCATGACCTCATTAGAGCCCCCCGACCCAGCCGAGACGGCGAGGTTGCAGCGGGGGACCACAGAACTGGACCGAAGGATGAGCTGCTTGGAGGTGGGGCCCCTGCCCCGCTTCAGGTCCTTCAAAGCTCTAGCTCGGCCTTCTGTCGGGTGCCCGACGCAGGCGCTCCGAAAGCGCAAGATTATGTCAGCTTATGTACGCGCACCAAGGCTGCACCATACAAGACCTTCGGGGCCACTCAACCTCAGGAGCCTGTGAGACCAATTCGCCTGAGCGAGCTTAGCAGGGACCCAAGGGCACCTCCACTGAACAAGTCGGGCTCGAGACTTCCAATTACGGCCACGCGCAAGGCAACTCCAGCGGCCGCCTTGCCACTTAACCAGATGCCCTTTGGGATCCGACACGAGCTCGAGCGGATCGAACACACGACGCAACCGAGGCTTAAGGGCACCGGGGAAGGAGGCAGCCGAGAGATGCCCAAGTTTCCTACCCGTGTACAGGGACACAGAATAGCTGGCCCACCAGAGCAGGTCGCGCTGCTGCTCCGCATCCTCAGAGACAGGGTGAATCCTCCAGGAACCGATGAAAACGTGCGAAAACCTTCACATCGAACCTCGAGGCTCGATCGGCATGGACCCTGCAAAGCCTTGCCTACGATCTGCAGCGCGTCCCGCAGCATCCGCCGGTCGTGCAGGTCCCGCAGCAGCTCCCAGCCCTCCTGGGGAAGAAAACTACCCTCCTCCCTCCTCCTTCTCTAATCCTCCCTCCTCGTCGTCCTCCTCCTCGTCCTCGTCCTCCTCTTCCTTCTCCTCCTCCTCCTCCTCTCCTCCTCCTCCTCCTCCTCCTCCTCCTCCTCCTCCTCCTCCTGCTCCTGCTCCTGCTCCTGCTCCTGCTCCTCCTCCTCTCTGATCCTCCTTATCCTCCTCCTCCTCCTCCTCCTCCTCATCCTCCTCCTCCTCTTATCCTCTTCCTCCTCTTATCCTCCTCCTCCTCTTCCCTTCTCCCTCCTCCATCCTCCGTCATCCCTTCTGCCTCTTCTTCCCAAGCCGACTGTTTTCCGCAGTCCCTGGGATGGCTTTGTGCAGGACGCATGGGGCGCCCGTAACGCGCACCCGACGAGCACCTGCACAATCACCCCTGGGGCGAGGAAGCCGGGGCGACACCGCCTCATCCCTCCCGCATCCCGCCCCCATTATTGCACGGCTGCTTGTCTTGCCATCCGTGTTTCCTCGTCTTGCCCCGGCCTATCTCGATTCCGCCGTTCCTCCGTCGGTTCGCCTCGGCGAATAGGGAGGGGACGCCATCCACCCATCCATCCACCCCTGTCCCGCTTCTCGGCCTCTGTGTGCCTCTTGCGTCTCGCTCCCTGTTCTCGCCCTTGTGATGCCCTGCATGTTGCTTATTATTGTTGTGATCACCCGCTGCGTGCGCCTCGGTGGGGGGGGGGGGTGCGAGAGGGAGGTGCGCATCTCCACGGCTCCTCACCCCTAATCAGATCCCAAAGAAATTTTGCCTTGCAGGACACAGACCGGCGGCGATTCCGGCAGTCCTGCATGCAACGCCTTCAGTTTTACTCCCGCCAAGGCCGCCCCCTCAAAGGAAAGCATCGACCTCCTGGGCACCGTCCGGCGGCAATGCCGGCGGTCGTGCGCACATCTCCCACATGCACACGCGTTGCACGCACACGCGCACACGCTCCATAGAGGGGGGGCAAGTTCGATCAGCCGCCCGAGGCGGTTGCACTTGAGACGGAGATTGTTACCCACCTCCTACCCCCCGCGCAGAGCGTAATCAAGTCTGCCCTCCTGGGAACAGCTCTCTCCAGTCTCCACGGTCAGAATCCAAATTCGAGGGCCCGCAGGCAGCCCCATCCCCCATCATCTCCAAGTGGGGCATCCCCAGCCCTGCAGCTGGGGCTGGCTCTGGGGGGTGTCCGCCCATCCGATCGCCATCCACGCGCTTTGTCCCTGCCTCCACCCCTGCGCCTGCATCCTTGCCATCTGTCTCCGCCTCTCGCCGCCCTCACCCGCGGCCCACGGAGCCGCCGTGCTACAGCGAGAGCGCCCTCTCCCGTGCTGCACCTATCCCAGGTCCACTTCCTCTCCCGAGTTTCGGCGCCGCGAGTCGACATCGCATCGGCTCGAGCTTCCACCGACCCAGCTCTGGCACCCCACCTCCGCACCACCGCGCCATGCTCAGCGCCGACCACGGTCTCAGCTTGCCCTGAACCCCCGCAGGCGTACCATCCACCTATCCAAATACTCGTTGGGGGTGGTCTTTATCTGCAATGCCTGTGGAGAGTACTCGGAAACGGAGAATATCAGGAGGTTCAGACAGGTTCGCAACATCGAGTTCACCTCCAAAGGTGCCAGATACTCCTGGGACAGGTTCTCTAAAGACCAACATCCCGATTTCAAGGAAGGGCGGGCTAAGTGCCTAAAAAGAATACATGTCCCTAGCCACAGTGTTGCAATCGCAATTAAGTGCGTTCTCGCTCCCTACTCGCCGTCTCTTTGGAAACCAGGGTGCAACGCAAGCGAAAACACGAGCGTTCGTCACCGTTTTTGTTTGCCGCCTTGCCATTCTCCAGTGTTCGCCATCCGCGCGCATCATGTCCCCTCTCCCCGTCCACCGCTTCCCTATTACCTGTCAATCTTGCGTCGTTTGCACTTCGCGCCCTCGCTCCCAACCCTCGCGATCCCAATTGTTCGTTCTGATATTGCGCACATCCACATCGGAGGTGGCTGCGCCATCAGTTCCAAGCGCCTCCCTTGGATCTGTATCCCATGCCTGGGCTTAGGGCCCACGGGTTGGGCGCCTAACGATACGCGCCAGATTTCAGGACCCATTGATTGGTGGCTGCTCTTCAAAGCCCAGTCAGCTGGAGACCTTCAACCCCTAAAGGAAGAGCATCGTCTTAGAATCCTCCCTTCTGCCTCCACCCCCCCTCCCACCCTCCCCCCTCCCCTCCCACCCCCTACCCTCCCCCCTCCTCCCTCCCCCCATCCCTCCCTCCTCCGTCCGATTCCCTGCCTCTCGATCCTCGTGCCTCGATCCCTCCCTCATCCCTCGCTCCCCTCAAGAATGACAAACGAAAACAATATTGGCAGAAACTTTCGGGAGGTTGGGGCTGGGGCAGCAGGCCTTTGGGCGCTCGTCCGCGCGGTTTTCTTGGGTGGCACTGAACCCCTCCCCTCGCGCACGAAACGCTTAGGGGCGGCGCCGGAGGCGCCGCCAAGAGGGGTCCAGCAGCAGCCCAAAAGTTCCGCGCGGATCTCGGGTACAAAAATGTGTATGCCAATATGTGTGCGCTTCTACCTTCCCTCCCTCCCTACATCCATCCCTGCCTCCTCGCTCCTCCTGGGCCCCTGGGTCGCTCCGCGTTCCCTCACCTCTCCCTCCTCGCTCGCTCCTCGCTCCTCCACCTTTACCCCAGCTGCTTTCGCCTCATAACTGGGGTCTCCGGCCGACGAGTGAGACGATCTGGGATTCCCTGGGACGCTCTCGGCGAGGCGCAGCTCTTCAAGGCACCCCGAGGCTGAAAAACCACCGATAACCGCCGAGAGCGCCCGGAAATTCCGAACGTCGGTCATAAAAAAACATCCCTTGTTTTGTCCCTTCCTCCCGACGTCATGTTTTTGTCCACGATGTGGACGCCAAGAAATCTGGATCCCTTCCCGCGAGCCGGCGTCTTTTTTTTTGGACCCAAAGGGCTCAGGAGGCTCCAGGGGGTCCCAGTTGAAGGCGGTCGACTCCTTGGTCGAGCAGTCCGAGGACACCGTGGCGAGGGGGGGGGGGGCCCACTGTCCGTGGGGAGCGCCTGCCTGCCGAACGGCAAGCAGGGCAAGAGACAGCCGCGTTCCCCCACGCGGAGCCCCCCCCCTCGCCATCTGTCGGGGCCCAGGCGCGGGAGTCGCACCAGGCCTCTGAAAAGAAGATGGCACTATCGACCAGCCCACATCACAACGGCAGAGACGAGTCCAGGGCCCCACCACCAGACACCGAGAGACGCTCTGACAAGGCTCAAGGGGGGGCCTCGAAAAGCAATCGCACCCGTCTCTCCACGCGCCAGGCTTCAGCAACAGGCCTATGCCTGCGCGCCGTGGCCCGCATGCGGGCATGTATCTGCTGAGACACACTGCCAGAGGAGACATGGTGACGACGACAGTTGTGAGCAAACATAAACGCGTCAATTACAGCAGCCGTTAGAAGTAGCACCGTGCGAGGACGCGGAGACGTGGGAAGCAGAGCAGACAGCCAAGGAGGGGATTCCGAGAAGGGGGGCATCAGTTCTCCGAGCCAATGTTCGCATATCCAATAGAATCGGGAGCATCTCGCATAATGGGCAATATCATCGAGGTCAGAGAGGGTAGGGTCGAAGGAATCTGAACAGCATCCAAACAGGCAACCATGCGACTGAGTGTGAAATCTGGCCGACGTGTTCAAACCTCGGGCAAGCACACGGAGAAACGTCAGGCCAATGTAGGGCCCAGTCTTCTTGACAACAAACTTCACAGCTTTCGAAACTTGTAAAGCGGCATCCTCAGGAACCTCGTTCAACCACCTCCTCATCCTGATCATCAAGTCCTGCTTCGCATCGTGTGCAAATTCAGGCGAGGCAGCAATCGTGCGGTAGACGGCTGCCTGGAAGCTCTTGCCCTCGTCAGGTATCCCCGAAGGCGAGCAGGACAAAGTACCACGAACACTTCTGAATGTCGCAAGCAGAGCAGGAGCGAAGCTAACACTGGCCCAACCAGACATAGTTCTGACAATACAGGCATCGTCGGAGGCAAAGGTCTTTTCCAGCTCCTCAAGAATCCCAAGAATCTCCGAGCACTTCGAGACCAGGCGGAACTTCGTAGCCCGAGACACCGCTTCCAGGTTTTTAAACTGACCAGGGAACCCCAGGGAAGTCATATTCGTCAGCATCTCGTAGTTGAAACTAAAACGCGGCCCCACCACTAAGAGCTGCAAAGCATTCTTATACGCTGCAATCACCGGCCTAGAGAGAGGTGCGAACTGCATGACAAAGGATAGTATGCTAAGACATAAAGTGTTGAAAGTCGGGATGTTCTTCGCAAGAGTTAGACCAGCCTGACGCACCTCTCTCACCCGCGGAGCAAACTTCGCCACCGGTTTCGACCAGTAGCATTCGTGAGCAGAGACACCAATCATCATGCCGAGGTACTTACACGAGCGCACAATCTGAATCTGAGAGAGCTCAGGGCACTGCTCTAGGATGTACTGCTGCAGCCTAGCCTGGAACACAGTCGACTGGACCAGCACAAGGCACTTGCGCAGGTTCAACGCCAGCCCCACTGCCGACTCCAATGCCATGATAACACGGAAGAGGTGCCGCAGGTGTCGAAAGGTATCGCGGATACCATACAAACAGTCATCAGCATATTCAAGCTTGAGGTGCATACACTGCCAGCAGCATTTACTAATATATACCTGGAGCGGAGCCGTGCCCAAGCAGAAGAGAACCATAGATGCGGGATCCCCTTGACGCACACCTCTGGATATATCAATCGACGCGTGCACTTTGCCCAGGACCGAGATCAGAGCAGTGTTGTCAGTGTAGAACAACCGATGGAACTGGACGATAAAGCTCGGGATCCCCATCGCCTCCAACACGGCCAAGAACCATTCAATCGAGAGAGAGGGGAAGGCGGCAGAGTAGTCCGTCAGGACCATCGAGCTATCTTCGTGGTCGAGCACATGTTCAGACAGTGCCCAAGCTTCAGCACGGACAATATGCGCAGCCATGCTGCGACCAAAGACACAAGCCTGCGAAAGAGAAATAGTCTGCTGAGCGACTTCATTCAGCGGTCTGCACATGCACGAACTCAGTAGCTTGGCATCGGTATTGGCCATGGAAAGTGGACGTGTGTTTTCGGCAGTCCTGAAAACTTTAGGCCCCACATCGTCTTTCGAGTCCCCCTTCGGCAGAAAAAACAATCAGAACTTCCAACATGTCCCGAGGCAGAGCAGAGACCTGACCAGAAACCAAGTCCCGATAAAAGTCAAACAGAAAACAAGGGGCATCTCCAAGGCGCCAGCAGAAGTAAGGAATCCCATCAGGCCCAGGTATACTATGCTTACGAGTCTTGATAATGTCCCCGAAGAACACCTCATAGTCCACCTCCCAAGACACATTCGCTCCTACAGGCACCTGTCGGACAAAAGACAGTAACTCGGGCCACCGTGAGCGGTCTTCCTGCTGCTCGCAGAAGACCTCACCCCAGTGAAGCCGCAGGGCCTCAGCAGAGGCCTCGGGGGAGGGGTAAGGGTTGTCATTTTCGTCGACCACTCCTTGGAGCCAAGTTCGACGACGAAACTGCTGCCAGAACGTTCGACGACGAGCGATCTTCCTCTCCTCCTTCTGCCTCTGAAAGTCATCCGAGGGCAAGTTCCCAATCTCTAAGGTTTCAGCATCTAGCATCTTCATGCACAGCTCACGCACATGTTGGCAGAGGGGGAAAAGGTCAGCACATTCAAGAGTAGTGTCATCAATAAAATCAGTAAGCTTGGGATAACAAACCAATGCATTATCAATCATCTTAATATTCTGGAGTCGGAGGCCACGAAGAGCAGCCATGGACCAATGATGACACTCCTCATAAGTGCAGGCAACTCGAGGCCTTATGCGTCGTCGAGCACGTGCTGCGGCCGAGTGCATACATTCTTTGGTCCAAGCAAGACGCGCAGCGCTCCCACCATCAGCAGGAGGAGTACTCAAGAGCCTATCCAGCTCATCAGCAAACTCGGGCGACTTCGCAAGCCACAGCGGGATAGTCTTGCACTCAGACTTGTCAGGGGTGTACATCGAGATATGCGAAACGACGGGGATGTGATCCGAGGGCATGTCGATTTTAAGACGGCCTACCGTTGACGTCATGATCGTCATATCTGCAAGAATGGCGCTGGGCAGCGAGCAGTAGATGCGGTCTAGCCGCGCCGTGCGGTCAATCGCGCTATCAACCAGAGCCCTCCGTGTGTCCATTTCCTGGTAACATTCAATGAGGTCAGGGAGGTTGTTGTTGAACGCCTGTGCATGACTACGGCCCCCTGGGCTCCACGAACCACCATGAGCATTTTGACGGCCCTCGCCTTCCAGAGTAAAATTCCAATCCCCCAGTAGAATAGCAAAGTGCCCGGCTGAAAGCGGAACCTCACGGCGGAGAACGCGAAGCACAGATATATATACCCGAATATTATCGGACGTGTTGGGCATGTGAACGTTGACAATGTTACACTGGCCATGAGGGCCCTTCATCTCAGTCAGAAGCACTCTGCCGTCGATCAGCGACCGATGGTCAATCGAGGAAAAGTTACGCGCGAACACTTTACTGATAGCCGTAATCACGCCACCAGTGCCTGCACTGTCAGGGAAGAACGAGTAGCCAAATTGATGAGAGGGAAGTTGAAGAGAGAGATGATCAATATCGCCTGGGTGACCATGGGTCTCTTGGGTAACAACAGTATCGTGGGAGTGACAAAGACGCTCGAACATGGACATCTTCTTCTGAGCACGATCTTGACGCAACGACTGCTTAGACATGATCATACCACCAGCGTTCCAAGAACAGATGGAGAAAAGGGAGGGAGGACAGAACGGAAAGTAACAATCATGAGCAGACGACTCGCACGGTGCTGGCTGCATTGTACAAGCAGAGGCGGCAGACACAAGATTCGAAAAGGCGACAGGCATGGCAGGCTCAGAACACTCAGCTGAATCGCGTGCATCCCCACTGATGTCGCTCCCTATGTTCAGCAGAGGCGGAACCTGATCTGTCCTGGTCGTGGGTGTCCGCCATACCCCATCCTACAGGTACGGTTTGTTCTTAACAGCAATGTCGATGATGAAGTCAATCTCAGCATCGGTGAATTTCCACTGATACAACTCTTCACGGTTGGGGGCGATGACGAACTGGCCCTCCTCTGTCTTCAACGTGAACAGGGCCCACGAGTCCGCGTCCGTCGGAATCTGAAAACGACCAGAGCCATAGCAGGAGCAGCCCATCCTCAGCGAGCCGTCCCAGAGGCCCTTGGACGTCAGCTTCACCTTCATCGGCTCCCACAAGCACGACAGGGTACTCTTCCTCAGCCGAGCGGGAAGGGGAATGTCGCCTCGAACGCGAATGGGGAACGTCTTGGCTCGATCACGATAGTCATTCCATTGCGATGGTGTCGTGAAGGCCCACTGCTTGAACCGAGTCGCGGCCTCCTCCGTCTCAAACACCACCGAGTACGAACGGCTCGTTCGCTGGAACGACGGCTGGGTATTAGTAATCATGTCCTGGGGCACCTGAGTCTTGTACCACTCCCAGTGCTCCTTCCGATATTGCGAAAGCACCTCACGTGGCCATCCACCAATCCAAATCCTGCGAGGGTTATGCGTGTCCTTCTCATTGTTCTGAAGCGCGTCGGTGAACATCTCAGGCATGGGTCCTGTCGCAGGGCGCTTACGTCGAGAGGTGCCCCCACTGTCCGAACTCGCAGCCGTCGATGGCGTGCGTGAAATCGCCGAAATGATTGATAACTGCTCTTGAATGTTCTCAAACTTTGCTTCCATCTTTTTCCCAACTTCAGCAAGCGCCTGGTGTCCTGCCGAACCCTCGGGGCAGTCATGCCAGCCATTGCCGTCATCAACCACAATCGCCGAGCCCGTGATCTGCTGGAAGCGCGCCTCCCAGCTGGCCGACATGGAGGTCACCATCGTTTGCATCTCCTGCACCGACGAGACTTGCTGCGCTTGAAGTCCCTGGATCTGAAGCTCCAAGGCGCCGGTCCTGGCGTTAGCCGCTCCAATCGCCGTGAGCAACTCACTCTTCATCGAACCAAGCGCGGCCAGGACCTCTGAGCTCGACATCGCGGCCGAAGGAGAAACAGGAGTAATCCGTGGAATGATCTCTGGAATCAGAAAAAGGTGAGGACTATCCTCGGGACGCTCGGGCCAACCCCTTGGCTGCGTCCAAGTTCGAAGCGCCAGGGCAACGTTTCGAACTTGAGCCAAAATGGCTACGGACCTTCCCGCGAGCCGGCGTCTCATCCTGAGTGGTTTATGACAGTCCCCGGGCCCCGCGAAGCCGAAATTTGCCAAATTTCCTGGCGTGTTTTTTCACGACCCGAAAGGGTCTGGGGTCTGGGTCGCCCCCGGGGACTTAACAACTACCATAATTACCGTTTCCGGCACGCACTGACCAGGGCAATGCAGACCTGGGTCAGTCGGGCTTTGCCAGATCCTGCAAGAACCTGCAAGATCCTGCAGGATCCTGCGCGCAAGCCCGGGTTCATACATGCAGGCCTGGCTCTGCAACTTCCTGCAAAATCCGGCGCACTGGCTGACACCCTGGGTGTGTTCGCAACAGAAGTCCGAGGATAATCAAGCCGTGGCGACGAGAGGTTTCCTCGCGCCAGTGTTAAGAGGGGAAGAAAAGGGCCCTCAAAGTCCCCTTTTAGAGCCAACATAGGCCCCAACAAAACCCTCAAGGGCTCCTCCCTTCAACCCCCACTTAAGTCAATCCCCCTTTCGACTCTCCAAAATGTGCAACGGTACAAAATCTGTTTTTCCTCCGGCCCCGCTCCCCCGCTCCACTCCTCTCGCTCCCAACATATTCCCTTGGGGGGTCGTTCGCCCCAGATCAGCAATTGACGGCAATGGGGCTCAAAAACGACACCCGAGGGCCGAAATTGGGGAAGGGCGCACGGATTGAACATTTCAACATCACCGGATGACTGGGTCCTCCGCTTCGGGCGCACGCCTACTCGGATTAGGAATCTGGGGATCTGGCGCGTGGGCGCCAGATCCATGGATCGGAGGAAAATATCCATCGAAACATGGTGCCAGCGCCGCCTCCTCTGGCGACGGCAGGCACCGATTCTGCTCTGAAACGGGACCCGTCGCTAATCCACGCGCCTTGTAACGCTGACTCCAACCTCCCTCCCTCGCTCCTCCCTCCGTCCCTCCGTGAGCAGGGCGAGTTCAGACAACGCCAGCTCAAAAGCGATCCCCAGACCCCCCCCTGGGTCGTCTGCACCAGTTTTCCAAGCTGCGCCCAACTGTGGCGACGAGGGGGGGCCCCCAAAGTCCAACTGGTCAATGTGTCGATGTCGATCTTGGTCATGGTCCATGTCGGCTGTCGCTCACGCGCGAGGATGATCTACGAATTGTCGTTGACCAAGAACGACGGTGACCAAGATCGACACGACGTTTCCGCGTTCAGTCTTGGCCATGGTCCCCGTTTTCTTCCCCTCCAGATCGGGATCGGATCGGCCATCCACAAAAGAAGATGGAGGACCTGGCCAGCCACGAAAGCCATGCGCACGGCGGCGGAATCCGAGCCCTGGCCTCGCCGATCAACGATTCAGGCGACTCGATTGGCGGCGGGGGCAGGGCTCGGAATTCGTCAAAAACGTGGCGAAATCCCAGCGAAATCCCAGCCCTAACCCCCGCCTCCCATCGATTCCCGAGAATCGATGGTTGGTGGGAGTATGGTTCGGATGTCGCCACCTAAATGCAGCACCACAGCCCAGAACCCCAGGGAGGAGGGAAGAACAAGGGAGGGAGGGAGGGAGGGAAGGAAGGACCGAGGCAGGGAGAAACGAGCGAGGGTCAGAGGACGGCCAGTGGAGGATACCCAGAGGTGCCCTCACCGCTACACCACGGACCTCTCCCAGGGTAGACTTTCAAGGCGAAGCCACCGGTTACCGGGAGGCCCCCAAAAGCGAAAACAGATGAGGGAAGGACGGCGGCATGGGTGCCTCTTCCTTCTCTGAGCGCTTCCTCTCGCGACGATCCCTGGAGCTCCTCGGCGTGCCGCAGCGCGCCCTCCTGGTCGCAGTCCTCGCCCTGCAACTGCACGCCGGCCATGTGCAGCAGCGCGTCGGCCTCGCCGCGCCTGTAGGTCGCCGCCCCCCCCACTGGCGTTTGCCTGCTGCCGTCCTGTTTCCTCGAACGTTTCGAGGAGTATCGAGATCGAGGAGGATCGAGGATCGAGGAGGAAGAACTAAGATCGAGGAGGAAGGTCGAGGATCCAGGTTCGAGGATCAAGGAAGATCGAGGAGGAGGATCGAACATCTAAAATCGACGAAGATCGAAGAGGATGATCAAAGACCGAGGAGCCAGATCGAAGATCGAGGAAGATCGAAGAGGAGTATCGATAACCGTGGAGGAGGAAGAGGTTCGAGGGTCGCGAATCGATAAGGATCGAGGAGGATCAAAGAGGAATATCGATGATCGAGGAGGAGGATCGCAAATCGACTAGAGACAACTTGTTGGACAACGAAACTTTTCCGTACAATGGAACGAAGGTATGTAAAGCGAGTCTAACAGCGGGTGCGTGCGCGCATCCTGCTGCAAACGGCGGCGGGATGGCAGGCACATAGTAGCACGGGCAAAAATGAGGTGAGACAGGCAGGGAAACGGACCGTTCGAGTCTGGTGCTCAAACGGTTCGTCGTGCCTTCGCTGGCGGCAAACAGCTGCTAGGAGTGCTCTACTGACCGCACTCGGGGGGAAAAGAAACATGCCTGCAATGCGCGTTCTGCTGACCGCGGCCGCCGAACCGAACCGAACCGAACCAGGTCGAACCGACCCGTCCGAACCGTCCGAACCGAACCGTAGCAAACCGGTGTTTTTCTCAACGCGCGAGCTGGCCGTGTTTGACATTTGAACCGAACCGAACTGGATTCGATTTTGCTTCCAAACGCCCTGCAAAGCCACCCCCATAACACTTCCGCGAGCTCCTATAGCAACCACCACGAGCGGGACTTACGAAATTCCTCCCAAGGCCCGTCAAACACCTCCCCGGGGCTGTAAGACACCTTCGAATCTCGTGGCTGGATAACACCGCCCCGCGCCTGGATAACACCTCCCCGGGGCCAGGGCTGTATAACACCTCCCTGGGCCCGTATAACACCTCCGCGGGCCTCTGTAAAAAAAACCCTAATGGGAAGGTTTGACACCTTCAGTGGAGTCTCAACGGGACGCCCACAATCAAAACCTGGGCCCGTATGGCACCTCCGCGGGTCCATGGGGCCGCCTGGCCCCCACCTCAAAGACTACGAAGCATGTCCCAAAGACCGTATGTCCTCCCAAAGACCGTATGTCCTCTCCCAGGGCCATATAACACGTCAACACACGGCTGTTTCACACAACCCTGGACCCGTCTAAATCATTTCCGCGGGCCCCACTCATATCCCCGTGAGGCTGTCTGGCATTACCTCGAGGTCCCCCCCGGGGCCTTCCTGGTGCCCCCAAAATCGAAACTGGACTTTGAACGCGGACGGAAGCGGCCAGCAGCAACAGTCATCGACGGCGACGACGACGACGACGGACGGCGATGGCGGCGACGGCCGATTCCAAAGATCCCCTCCTGGCCCCCACCAGGGCCCGCATATTTTTCGGTTGCCATCGCAAACGCAATGGGCGGTCCGACAGACGACGCCGAGCGACGAACACCGCGACGGACGACGACCCACCGACGGCGGCGAGACATCAGAAAAACGCCAAGGTGCGGACGAGGGTGCGCCCCGCTCCCAAGGGGTTTATCCTCGTCGTCGTCGCAGGCACTGCTGCCATTGTCGTCGCCCTTCCCTCCGCCCGCCTCTCCCTCCCCGTCGTCACCCCTGTTCCTTCGGATTGAAGACGGAAACAGCACCCGCGCGCCAAGTCGGGCCGAGCTCGCCACATCCGAACAGGACCGAACCGGAAACAAACGCACAGCGAACAAGACCGAACCGGGCGGCAAAATTCACAACAACGAACCGAACCGATCCGAACCGGACCGGGAAAGAGTCCCTCAGCTCGCTTCAGAGTCTCCTGGCCGTCGTCTTCCGAATGCTAGCTTTTGTGCGGGAGCACCTGCTCCTGCTCCTGCTGCTCCTCCTCTGCTGCTCCTTCCTGGGAGGCCTTTCGAACGCAAACTTGGGGCTTTGCTTCCGTGACCTCGCGCTGGGGCTCCTCCTGGAGCCGTCTTGGGGATCTCTTGGGCTGGCCTGGGGCCTGTTGGAGCCCGCTGAGGAATGGCCATGAAGCTCTCTCCGAGGGTCTTCAGGATGTCTGAGCCCATGGCGGCGGGTTCCGAGGCCCAGGACGCGGAAACCCTGTAAAACACACAGAATAAATGAGGGCCGGCACTCGCTCCTCCAGCCATATTGGGGCTTTTTGGGCTAGCTTGGAGCCTGCTGGAGGTTTCTGGAAAATAGACCAGGGGCTATGTCCGTGGGCTTTCAAGATGCCTGGGCCCACCGCTGCGACTTCGGAGGCCCGAGGCACCGAAGCCCTGCAAAAACACATGAAACATGAAAGCCTGCAGTCGTTCCTGGAGCCGTCTTGGAACCCTCTTGGGCTGGCCTGGAAACTGTCGGAGCCCTCTGCGGAATGGTCTTGGAGCTCGCGCCGAAGATCTGGAAAATGTCCGGGACCATCGCGGCGGCCTCCGAAGCCCAAGACGCCGAAACCTTGAAAGAAAAACAAAAGGAAAATAAGCCCCGGTATTCCCATGGAGGGTCGATGCAACCGCTTTTGGGCCCCAGACCCCAGGCCGGCCCCCCCGTGATACATACATACATCTATAGATATTTACACATATACGTAGCACCCCACACTTGCGGATAAGAGTGACGGGGGGGGCGAGGACATCGGCAGTCTGCGAGGTTCTGAAGCAGCCCGCCGCAAGCGCTAAACATTCACAATTCGTGCAGTGTGCCCCCCGTAATCGCCGATGTTTCCTTAAAGCGACGTGGGTGAGTCGCGGGTGGGTCGCGGGTGGGTCGCGGATGGATCGCGGGCGGGTCGCTGGTGGGTGCGGGTGGGTCGCGGGTGGGTCGCGGATGGACCGCGGGCGGGTCGCGGGTGGGTGGAGGGTGGTGGGTCGCCGGTGGGTCGCGGGTGGTCGCAAGTGGGTCGCGGGTGGGTCGCGGGTGGGTCGCGGGCCGGGTCGCGGGGGGGGACAACGGCAACAAACAACAACAATAATAATATCAACAACAACAACAACACCCACAACAACAACAACAAGCACAACTACAACAAAAACACCAACAACAATAATAATGACAACAACATCATCATTAACAATAACATACAGCAGCCACAGTAATAACGACAACACCACCAATCATTATGAGACTGTTCGCTCCTACCTGCACACGGGCCAATCGATACGTAGATCCCAAAACCTCGGTACCCGCCCTCGTCGCCTTCGATCGTACCCCCTGGGGGCAAAATGTCATTCCTTGCCACGCGTATTTAGTGCAACCCTTAAAACAAGGGAAGAGAGGACGTGTGGAAGGGGGAGGGAAAGTAATGGAACACTAAAGAAATTAGCAGGAGAAGGGGCAAGGAACAGTAAAAAAACAAGGTATAACCAAACGGGCAGATCGGGTGGGCAGGCCCATAGCGGGCAGGTCGGGAAGGCGGGCCCTGACGACGAAGTCGAGTAGGCGGGTTGCTGAAGCGTGGGTCCTGCATGAATCGCGCGGACGTATCGAGCTATAGCGCGATTTCAAAGTACATGTTTTTTTTTTCGTTATATACAATACGAAAAATAATAATAATATTATTAATAATAATAATAATACGAATACTAATAATACCAATAATATTTTTTTATATATTTTTATAAAAAAGTGGGCAACGAAAGGCATACCACCAGAGGCCACAGAGGGCAGCGACGGGGCTGCTGAGAGCAGCCCCGGGCCACCAAGGACAGCGAGGGGGCCACAAAGGGCGACAGCGGGGCCACGAAGGGCATGCATATGGGGCCACGACGGGCACGAGCGAGCGGGGGCCACGAAGGGCATTCGTATACGGGGCCACAGAGGGTGACAGGGAGGCCACTGAAGGCATCAAAGGGGCCACGAAAGGCAGCGAGGGGGCCACGAAGGGCATGCGTATGGGGCCACGACGGGCGCGTGCAGGGGGGGGCAACGAAGGGCATGCAATGTGGGGCCGCAAAAAGCAACGACGGGGCCACTGAGGGCAGCAACGGGGCCACGAAGGGCAGCGAGCGAAAGCGACCGCGGAACCAGCGCGGGCAAAGGCAGCGAACGGCGACCGCAGTGATTAACGGGCTGGTCGGGCGGGCAGGCCCCGACGGGCGGGTCGAGCGGGCGGGTCGTTGAAGCGCGAGTCGTGCTTGAACCGCCATGCAATATGTAGCGGGAGCGCGATTTGTGAGTGTCGAGGACGGGCATCGGAATAAATTGTGATGAAATATCAAGCGAAGCGGTTCGGTGGTAAGTTGCAAGGATGTCCCAAGCGAGAACGCGATTCTGTAACACATCGCCAGGAAGTATCCGGCGGGAGCCGCGATTCGGTGGTAAATTGCGAGGAGTTCCCAAGCGAGGACGCGATTCTTCAATCAAGTGTGAGGAAATATCAGGCGGGAGTCGTTTTTGTTATTTAACGGGGGCCAACGACCCTTCAAGACGTTTTTTTTTTTTTTTTTTTGTATATTATTATTATTATACAAAAAAGGGCCCGAACCCCGGGAGGGGCACTTCAATCGAAAAATACAATGTGCGACGGGCGGGGGGGATCAACAATATTTTTGTTTTGGTTTTTTTCCCGGAAGTGGGAGTTCAACAACGACAACAACAATCATTCGAAGACTGGTCGCTCTTACTTGACCGCGTGTCATCCAAAACGAGTTTCCCATACCCTTGATACCCGCCCTTTTTGTCTTCGATCAAACCCCCTTTGGGGTGGGTATTTCTCTTTGCGGGGGGCGGCGGGCTTAGACAGGCGGGGAAACCTGAATGGGCGGACAATCCTTCGTGGGCGTACATGCGCCCGGCATTGGAATTGGTGTGGGCCCTGCAAAAAGAAAAGGAAGAGAACGAGGGAGAGTAGGAGGAAGGGAGTGGGAGGGACGAAGGAAGAAGGAAAACGCAAG